TAATAATAATAATAATAATAATAAACGCAAATAATGAACACTTACCTGACAGCCTAACCGCTTAGCAAGTGGCTGATAACCGCCCGCCTGCTGGAACACCGGGTAATTGGCAGGGTTATTTATGAATCTCACAGTCCTGCTGTAAAACCATTCAAGGTAACCCTGCTCCGGCTGCAGATAGTCGTACACAGGGGCAATTGGGAGGAGACGTTCTATTTCTTCGGTCCACGAGCTCAGAAACGGCACATGGAATGCGGCCAAATCATAAAACGCCCTCCCAGTCATCCCCTGACCTCTGTGGTGTGTGTCCCAGTCTCGCTCATCCCCAATGATCGGATCTTGGGGGATGGACTGGCGACACCCAAATTGACGGAGGACCCTGTCAGACAGATGTACCTCTCGGGTGTTCCAACTGAAAATCCACCCCCGATACATCCAAAATTGTGGATCTCTTGAGCACGCCTCCCGGAGAGTATCATTCTGCAGGTGTTGTCGATAGGGCTGCCAATCGAACTGTAAAAAAAATAACAATTGAATTAGTAATTAAGTTATTAAAAAATTAGAAAGAAAAAAAAAAGATAAATCAAGTAATAGGAATTAAGAATATTACATCATACTCTTCCAGCCCTATCAATTGATCCCGGTAGACGACCAATGTATTGGCTATGTTGGACTTCTTTTTCGGTCGCACTTTAAAAAAAAATCACAGAAAAAAAAGCGTGTAATCACAAAATTTGATAATGAAATTAATGTACGGATTAAATAAAAATAAGGGTGATTACCTCGCTCCCAATGGACAACCAGGCAGATTATCAAACGTACTGGTCTTCACTATTGGGCGAATATGAGGGATATGCTCCCATGCCCAAACCTACACAAATGGATATTAATTTTGGTATTAGGTATTAGTCAAAGTAAGAAAAAATAAAATATTAAATTTTTAAATAACAATTAAATAAATTTACCTGGATCAATTGAACGCAGTTCTTCATCCACTTCTCCTTGGCCTTGTACGAGGTTGACAATGCTCTATACACTCCGGGCAAGAGCGCTGAACCCCAGCTGTACCCCTTAACAACATCTATGTCCTGCAGCAGGTCGAGCCCGTAAAGTGGGACGCCATTCGCCCGGTGGTCGGGGAAGATGAAAGACCCCATGCACCAGAAGATAAGGGCCCTCGCCCTCTACTCGTACACGATGTCCGGTTGTCCTTCTTGCAACACACGGTTGCATTCCTCCTCTAACCCTCCATCATTCAAATACTGGCCTTTAATGTCCCAAGACTTTGGATCTTGGGCTGCTTGCTCTTCCTCGGTGGTGGGAGGATCTTGAGAGTGGTTTTTCCATATTAAAAACTATAAAATTGAGTTGACATATATTTTAAAAAAAAATTCTATGAAAAAATATACCTGAACATAGGGCTCGTACCCTAGCAAGTCCTTGCACCTCTCTCGCCACTGTACGGGTGATAGATCTCTAGTAACTCCCACAACAGCAACTCCAATGATTGGCAGACCGAACAGGACTTGTACGTTCTGGAGCGTGATGGTGGCCTCGCCGAAATCGAAATGGAAGGTATTCGTCTCTGGGCGCCACCTCTCCACGAGAGCAGTAATGAGGCTGTTGTCAGCTTGGATTCGACCCATTCAAAACAAAGGTCCGAAACCAGTCTGGTCGATGACCTTCCAAACCGATCGTGGCTGGCTTGACAAAGCCACCCAGAACTGACTGTCGAAATGGCGGTTTGTGAGCGCCGTGTCACGAGCTCCCGGCGCATTATCAAATACCGCCTGTGACCGGTGGCGGAACTGGAGATATAGAAGAGTGCCATCCCTTGGACCGGGATGGACACTGTACTGCTGAGGCTGTGAGGAGGACGATAAAGCCATTTATCTACAAACAATACAAAAAGGAAAATATTAAGATTAAGGTTATTTATTAAATTAATGATAGCTTCATGTTTAATTATGAAATCTTTATAAAAAATTAAATAGGATATTTATAAAATTCTAAATAAAAATTTCTTTATAAAATATTAATAACAATTCCTTTTTATATCTAAATTTGTTGTAAATGTTTTAAATATATTTAGTTTATCGTTACTGATTTTAATTACAAATATACTAACTTTTACAATTTGTAAATGGTTTATATTTAGTTTATCGGCACTTATTTTAAATTAGATTAATTTTTGGTTTAAGACTACTTTATAAATGGTTTGTATATAGTTTTATTTTGAATGTCATATTTTTAGAAAATAAAATTATAAAACTGTAGCAAACATGTAAAACAACCTTATGTTTCAAATACAAAAATAAGCTCCGAAAAGAATCCAAATCAATGTATAAATCAAGTGCAAGCCAAAAAAACGTCCAATATCCTATTCACAATTTCAACAACATTAGAGTTTCGAGTCCTAATTCGAAGTTCTAAATCCAAACCCTAACGTCCTAATTCCGAAAATTTCGTACACCCTAATTGCAAGCCTCATTCAAACGATAGTTCAAATCAACCCCTAATTCTAACCGTCAGTGTAACCCTAACTTTAAAATATCAAATTTTCAAGCAACCCTAACCTAAAAACGTATTATGAAAATTCGTATTAAAAAAAATTGAAAAAATTTTAGGTCATTTACCTAATTGACGAGGAGATTTGCAGTTGACGGCGCCGAGACGTTAGTGGCACGATGGCGGTGGCGCGCGGCGACGGTGGTCTTNGTACGATTAGCAAACGTAATTCAAAAATTTATGGTTTTAAAAGAGAACACTAAAAAAATAATATAAATGTTTTAAAAATTGATGGATTTCAAAGAGAGCCAAATTGATTTTGATAAAAATGAAACGTCGAGAGAAAAATAAATTAAAAAAAAAAAAATGAAGGAAGATGTTCTATTGATTCGAGGCAATAAGGTAATGACCAAATTGATCTCGATAAATTTCGTAGGGTACCAATTGGATTTAATAAAAGATTTAACTCGGTTCGGGCTAATTTTTAAGGAGCTTGGATTGGAAATTAACAATGTTTACATTTATTTTATTTCTTATAAAGCAAAAATTCAATAAACTTATTGAATATTCATCATGATATTTCTTGGTCATGAATTAGTTTCTTTAATTTTCTTAGGTTTATAATGTACCCCGATTTTGATTTGAAGAAGGCAGACGTATTTTTTCACCATCATTTTTCTTTTTCGTTTTATTACTACTTAACAAACTCAACTAGTATATTTTTGGAAAGAAAAATAAGATAGTAACTAGTTATGTCAGTTTTAAATTTCGAAATATTTAATACAGATATTAAATCATTCTTTCAAAACTTAGTAAATTTCTTCAACCGGAACAATTATTTATATATGGATCAACAGTATTGATATTTAAGAAGAACTAACACAAAAATTAAGAACTAACACAAAAATATATGAAGATTAATTTTTAATATAAGAAACATCAATACTGTTATTTCTTGGAGGAGATTCTCACAATAACTAAATCCACCATACATCAGGATAAAAACAAAAAAACAGATTCAACCATTTTTTTTTACTTATATGATCAATATATAAAATTAAGTAAAACATAGTAATCATTAACGTAAATCTCCCCCAATTCCATCCTTCAATTAATTCTCACCCTTCAAAGTCTTCCCCACATCGATCACAAACCTATACTTAACATCCCCCCTCGCCAGCCTCTCCATCGCCGTATTAATATAATCCATAGATATAACCTCAACATCCGGCAATATATTATGCTTAGCCGCGAAATCAATCATCTCCTGCGTCTCCTTAATCCCTCCAATCATGCTCCCGCCAACCATCTTCCTATGCGTGGCCAGCGCAAACATGGGCAGCTCGAGCGGCCTCTCGGGCAGCCCCACCACAATCAGCTTCCCATTCGGCTTCAACAAGTTAAGCAGCGCCTGTATGGAATGAAAAGGCGCCACCGCATCCAGAATCCCATCCAGCGTCCCAACCGCCGGCTCCAGCTCATTCGCCAGCAAAAACTGGTCCGCGCCAAGAGTCTCCAGCGCATAGGCCCTCTTCTCGGGCGCGATGTCAATCACAGTCACTTTTGCCCCAAACGCCTTGAGGAACTTCACTGCCACGTGGCCAAGCCCGCCGAGCCCGGCAACCCCGACATTAAGGCCCGGCTTGTCCAGCCCGTAGTATCTCAACGGGCTGTACGTCGTGATACCCGCGCAGACGAGCGGGGCACCACGGTCCATCGGGAGATTCTCCGGCCAACGGATGATAAAGTCCTCTTCGGCGACCATGAGATCGGAATAGCCGCCGTAAGTGAGGGTCCCGTCCGCCTGGACGCCGTTGTAGGTGTCGAGCTTCTCGGGGCAGAAGTTCTCGAGGCTGGCGGAGCAGTAGTGGCAGTTGCGGCACGAGCCGACCATGACCCCGACGGCGACCTTGTCCCCGGGCTTGAATTTGGAGACGCCGGGCCCGATTTCGGTGACGAGGCCCACGATCTCATGGCCCGGGATCATGGGGTAGTTGGCGAAGCCCCAGTCGTTCTTGATGAGGTGGAGGTCCGAGTGGCAGACTCCGCAGAACATGACTTTGAATTGGACGTCCTTGTGGCCAGTGGCTCGACGGGTGAAGTTGAGAGGGGTGAGGATGCCCGAGGAGTCTTTGGTGCCCCACCCGATGGCGTTCACGGTGTTTGCCATTGCCGCCATCTGATTTTTTTTTTTTTAAAGAAGAATTAAATAGAGCTTGTTTGGTTTTCTTGTGTTGTGTGGGTTGAGTTGAGAATTGGGTTTGGCAATATGGGCGTATTTATAGGGGTGACTTGGGATGGGAGGGAGAGTAGGGAATAGGAGTGTTTTTGGGATCTGTCTTGGGTTTATGTTTTGAGATAATTAAGGCTAGGGTGTAACGTAGTATTTCAATTTTCTTGTATTGTAAGTGGATGGATAATTTTTGTGGTCAGACGGGTGTGTAGTACAATTATGATTGACGATTTTTTCAAGAGTTAATGTTTTTACGTTTATTAACTAATTTATTTATTTATTTATTATTACAGCTGCCTAAAATGTACGAAATTTGGATAAGATTTGATAAACATGCGAGTCTTAGATGGAAACTTGTCAAATTAATGGTTTTTTAAAACAGAAACTTTATCGGAAGAAATGGATAAATTAAATCTGGGATGAAGTAAGTGCATATATCTTACTCGGATAGGTTGATCCACTATTCCATTTTCATATTTCGTATAGATATTATTTAATTTTAGGTTGTATAACTTTTTAAATTACTTGTTGTATAAGTTATTGATTTTGTGAGAATAACTACACTTTTATGGATTATAATTGGAATGGAAACTGTACAAATTAAGACTTGATTTAAATTCATTAAGATAGGGACGATCTTTGAAAATTTTGAATTTGGATTAGATATTCTTTTTATTAAAGACCATCTTATCTTGAGAAGATTTGTAGTCATCCGAATGCAGTTAAGGCAATAATCCTATTCTAATTTTCTTACAGATTTTTTTTTTTTT